GTAAGGAATAGAAACAATCCTTTTTATTGGAACTAAAGAGTGAGCGAGCGATAGTTAGAGAAAGGCCTAAAATGCTAAGTTCCTAGGGGATGGAAAAATTTCTAGTAGTACGTTTGGCTAGTTGACAGCCTCTCACATGTATGCATCATAAATTATGTACTATATATGTGACATATATAGTACATATATGCTAAATTTCTTTATTTAAATCTATGTATAACAATCCTAATCCAAGCCCAAGCCAGACTTAAAAGCAGCTTGAACTTGGTTCGTTTGTTTGCTGAGTGGCTCTGCTTGCTTCTCTCCTCAATCCAAAATACCCTATTCAAGCTTGGCTGCTCGGCTCATGATGAGCCCAGCTAAGGCGGCTCACAAGCTGCCTTAGCTTGTTGACAGTCCTAGTAACATTATATTTGCAGTTGAGAAGATATAATGGTAGGGTCTTCATCGAAAACTGGGATGCCCAGTCAACATGGATGGGACTAATGATGGAGAAGCTGGCAACAAGATTTTGTGTTTCTTTTTGCTTGGCTGGCACATATATTTTGTGGTATGGAAAAAAAAAATTGTCCTTTCCAAGATTTGGATGATTGAATTTACTGAAAGCTTTTATACCTAAAATACCAGTCTATTTATGATTTCTGCTCTGCTGGGAAAGATGATTGGGAAATGCAGAGGGGTTAGCTAAGCATAGTAAAGGAAGGGACTTAGAAATTTTGTTTAGTGAAGAGGGAGGAGGTTTGTGCCAAAGGAACTGTTACTCTTAATTGATCGAGAATATCAAACGAAACCCTTTTGGCTAGTTTGTTTGGTGCAAGGAAAGGCATAAGTATTATGTTAAAAAGTAACTTGTCACCTATTATCAACATCCACATCATCACCTCATCATTAAGCAACGAGGTCCTCACCATCATCATCATCAATAAACATCATCGATGACCTCATCACTGTCTCAAAGAAGCCACCATCTTGAAGATTCTAGTGCGTTGCAAAAGTTCAAGACCATTCTAAATCTTGCACTATGGCGGTAAAACAAGTTATAAAAAGGATAGAGCATTTGCAATGTGAAAACATATCCTAGAAACAATAGGAGATGAATACTATTGCAAAAAAATTACATGGCCCCTCAGCCCACATAATTACTATGTAACCCATGGTTTTTACTATTCCAAATGCAGTGGTGGAATTTTCTTGAGTAACTACTGCTTCATCTTCATCTTTACTACCATTCTTTGCTATTTCCCCCAACAGATTTTGGTATCAAAGCCTGGTTTGTGCTTCCAAGAATACCCCTTCACTTGAAGTTTGGCTTATAGCATCAACCTTGGGTATGAATTATGCCTAAAACCTAACCTAGAGAAGATTCCGACTCATCTCCAAATGAATACTTTATCTCACAAGATCTGTGGGATATTGTTGAAGAAGGCTATCCAAAGCCAGAAGATGCATTTACACTTAAATCGTGGTCACATGCAAAGCATAATGAATACAAGGTAAATAAAAGAGAGACGCAAAACCCTTCTCTTCATCTAGCAAGCTATAAGTAAATCTATCTTTCCTCTATTTAAAATTTCTTCAAAATCAAAAGAAGTATGGGATATTTTGAAAAATTTATGGGATATTTTCAAGGATTTGAACAAGTGATTTCTATCAAACTCCAAAATTTATGGAGAACATGTGATAATTTGATGATGAAAGATAGTGAATCAGTTTATATTTTCTTTTCTAGAGTTTTGGAATAGTAAATCAAATTATAAGTTATGGATATATCATTCTTGATAAAAAAAATTATTCAAAATTTTTTGAGAAGCTTGTTGGTAAAATTTGACGATGTTGTAGCAACCATAGAAGAATTGAAAGATTTATCTAAATTTCATTACAATAATTAAGTAGGTCTCTTGAAGCACATGAGCAAAGAATGATAGAAAAGATGAAGATGAAACCGTAGTCACTCAAGAAAATTCTATTATTGCATGTGGAATAGTAAAAACATGGGCTACATAGTAATTGTGTGGCATGAGGGACTATATTGACATTTGCAAATTTCTTGCAATAGTATTCATTCCCTATTGTTTATGAGATATGTTTTCACCATAGATATGCTCTCCCCTTTTTATAACTTGTTTTACGACTATAGTACGCGGTTTAGAATGGTCTTGAATTTGTATGCCGCCATTTTATAAATATTTAGATGCTACTTACCTGTCATTCTAGATGGACCACATTTTCTTGTAAGCAAACTTGTATAAGATTTTGCTTTTTCACCTACGTGGTTGAGAGATTTGTAATGGGATGAACAACATGTGAGGGCCACTATCTTCAAGATGGGGGCTTCTTCGAGAGAGTGATGAGGTCATCGATGATGTTCATTGATGATGATGATGGTGACGACCTCATTGATGAGGTATGAATGATGAAGTGATGATGTGGATGTTGACAATAGGTGACGTCACTTTTTAACATCCCCCCTTAATTTATCGCTCTCATTGTATCTCTGAACTGGATAAATTTATCTGTAGAAATTGTTTTTGTGAATATATCTACAAGCTACTCATTTGTCGTGATAAATTTCTACTCGATTTTACTTTTTTCTATTAGCAATTTGATAAAGTGTTCCTGAACTTCTATGTGCTTTGTTCGACTGTGAAGTACTTGATTATTTGTCATTGCAATAGCTGACGTATTGTCACCAATGTTGTCAGATTCTCTTCGGAGTCTTCTTCTGTTTGATGAGAAAAATGAAGCAATTCGGTGTTTCGGCCGATTCGAAGGCAGACTTCAGACTTTTTTTTTTTTAATTTATTATAAGTAAATTAGATATTTATATATAAAATATATACAAATAATAGAAAAAAAAAGAAAAAAAAGAAAAATATATATATATATATTAAAAAATACATCTATATAGCTATTTCTTTGCTGGTCGAAGCATTCCTGAAGCAAATCGGAAGCGGTTCGAATTTGACCGAAGCAGCCCGAAGCGGTCTGAATTTGACCAAAGCAGCTCGAAGCGGTCCGAATCTGACCGAAACGGCAGCACCACGCTTCATTTCTCTTCGCTTATGCCTAAAAACCGAAGGCTTCGGCCTCTTCGGCCAAAGCGAAGCGAATTTGATAACATTGATTGTCATAGAAAATTGTTGTGGGGGCATTTTGTTTTTGCTGCAAGTCTGATAAAAGTCTTTTAAGCCAGACTGCTTGGCATGCTGCGCTTGTTGAAATATATTCGGCTTCTGCTGATGATAAAGCCACAATATTTTGCTTCCTTGATGACTATGATATCACTTTTGTTCCTATGCAGATAACATAGCCGGAAGTGCCTTCCAATCATCAATTGAACTTGCTCAATCATTATTAGAAAATCCAACAAGATTAGTATCATTTCCATAAATATATTTGATAGCGTGTTTCCTTGTACCTTGGATATATACCAAAATTCTTGTTATTGCTGCAAAATGCAGTTTACTTAATTCATTCATGAACCTAGGACAAATACTAACTGCATGCACAATATTGGGCTTTGTGTCTATGATGGGACATTGCAGTGCTAGATCTATGTTGAAAAGTGAGGGCCAAGGGTTTAGTGGATGTGGAGGTCTATACGGTCCAGAGTTAGGGAGGCATGTTCCTAGATGATGCCATGAATGTCCATAATAGACTTAAGATAGGTGATAGGCCTGATTTCTAGTTTTGATTAGATCAATAGGGTTTCCTACAAGATTTCCCATCTTTCCCGTGCAAGAGGTGAAAATCTTCTAGATGTTGCAAAAATCAGTTATGGATTATTTGTGAAAGTCAGTATTGGATAGTATTCGGAAGCATTTGCGACATGATTGGTTTGTGGAACCTAGGTTGAAAAGTCTATGACCAAGTTAGTGATCATAGATTCCATTAACTATATAATTTAGGAAGCTTCCTATCTAGCTAAAGATCATGCAATACAAGCGGCACATATAGACTCCTTCCTAGTAGTCATACTTCAAGATATTCTGAACAGTGGTTACAAAGAAATCCCAAATCTTGCAAATGAATAGATAAATGTTAGAAAATGTTGTTTCCTACACCTAACACAACTAATAGACATGCGGGTTCCAACACTTTTCATTTTAAATTGATCCATGATAGGAAATCTAAAACAAAGAAATGGATGTTGTGGGCCGTATATACCCTAGACCAATATGTTCAGAAATGTTTTTTGCTTCCCTCCATTTAAACATACTAGAAATGATTTGATTGAAAAGCAACCATTACTGTTTGACATTTTACAATCTGTTGGTTAGGACCTCTACCTGGGGTGACTTCTTCAAGGCCAGAGTTTATGTTGGAGTATATTTGTTATTGTTTTACTCCCCTTTCTCCGCTTGTTTCCTCAAGAGCAGTCCAGTTCTGGCATATTTAGTGCCCCATCTGTCTTTTATTTATTTTGTGGGATGGAGCATATATACAGGTCCAAACTAAGGAAACTTTATCGGAGAATATTTCTGTAACTTTGATTCATACAAGTATCCATAACCTGTATTCATATAGTTATATTATTTGTTCTGTTGGAATATGGAGATGCATTGGAAACTAAGTGCCTCACTCAGATTTTACCATTATCACTTTCAATTTAGCCATAAGCCCAAAGCAAACAGAGACTAAAAGTGATATTGTAGATTATATAAATGGTACCATGGTTATGATCATCATACATCTTTCATTCAGCTATAAGGGAGAGGCTGTTTCTCCAATGCATTTTTTCCTCTTCTCTTGCTCTGTAAATTTCACTTATTATGATGTATCTCTTATTCTTGTCCTCTTGTACATCATTTAAAAAACAAGTAATCAGCAAAAAAAAAAAAACAATGAAGAAAAAAGCTTGCCTCGTGATTTCCATTTTTTAATTGATTATATTTGGTGCTAAGGAACTCAATGGTTTTGTTGCTTTTGCACCAATTATACTGATGATGATGGTGGTAATTCCTGATATGATGATAAGTTTTTGTCTAATGTCTTTTCAGTATCAACGAAGTAATGCTATATACAAAGAAGAACAGAGGCAGATAAGAGCTGCTGCACGCAAGGCCAAAGAGGCAGGTAATGGAGCCCATGAGAGTTGATCATGATTGTACTTAACACTATTTCTTTTACTGATAAGAATGAAAACTGCAATAATAAATCATGAACTGTTTCAATTTTGTGGGAATTGTTTTGAGATGTAAATTATCCTGAACTGTCATGTTTTCGGAGCCCATTATTTACTTTTTTGGGAGTCTTTGTGTTCTATGGCATGGGATAGAATCTTGAATTCTATTGTTTTATGGATTTGGCTGTTGCACTCTTCATAATAATAGTTTGCTTTGACAAAAAATAAGTGATTTGGTAAGTAGTGGCAATTTCTTCCTGTGGAAGTTTTGGTATTAAATGCAACCATTGAGTCTGATACCACAAACAATAATGGTGAAGAAAGAAAATTAGAAAATTCTAGCACTGCAGTTTTGCCAATAACCAAAGGGTGTGGTTTCCATAAGGTTGCAACCTTAAACAATCCAACTAAGGCGCAACTTCAAATTTTATCATAAGATATAATTTTGATATAAAATGTTATTAGGATTATCTCAAAATCTATTTTTATATTCAAATATCATATTTTAAATTAAAAAAATGGTTAAAATCAAGTAGATCTATAAACATATGAAAATCTTGGAAATGGACGGCGTAGATAAGGTGTTGTAAGATGCACTATTTCTGAGACTCAAAATCTTTTTATATTTCATAGTCAAACATCTCGATGTCGAGATGATCAATCACAAGGTTTTTCAACATTAAAACAACTTTTTTCAATGGATTTTTTGAGGTGCATCCGTGGTTCTACATTTTAAGGTTGCAACTTTATATAAACATTTTCCATAACCAAATGTCATACGGCACCATGTAAATATTTTCTTTTTTTTTTCCTGTCTTATTTTTATGCTGTTTCGGATTTGAACACAAGATGTTGGGGTCTTTACACTTCAACTTCATCTTTAACCTGAACAACCCAGACATTTATTGAATTCTGATTAAAATTTTACTACAAAATAACTCAAGGGGGAAAGATAGTATGTTCCCTATGGAACACCAAATTTGGTGCTCTGCCCACCTCAAATACCACTCGTGCAGTGTTCCCAAACATGTGCTCCTGCCAATTTGATTTGACTAGGAACCCCCAATAACTTCTGATGCCCCCAATCCTCTACCCAATGATGATTAGACCGGCCATATCTAATTTCAACAGGGGATTCATGGCTTTTTTGGATCTCCAAATCACTTTTCTTTTTGTTCAAATAGAGAACTGCTTTCAGGGTATTAGAAATAGGGAAAGCTTTCTATGTTCCCCCTACGATAGAAGTCATATCCTCCCTCTTATCCAACCCTCCATTTTTTGAATGGAGGCTTAAGATTGCCTCAATCACAATGTCATGTCTCTATATTGTTTTATTTTTAATTTGTTTTCTATAAACTATATTGACACCAAGTTTTGGACGTCCATTCCTCTATTAAACTCGCACTAACATAAATATAAAAAAATATTTTCAATAAAATAAAACAACCAAAATACCTTGTAAGTTTTAAAGGGTATTTTGGTCATTATTTTTTATAAAAAAATTATTGTTAATATTTTTTATAGGTGCGCCCCAATGAGAAGATGGCACGTAACAAATTTCATATTCAGAAAAATTGTATTAAAAAAAATAAAATAAAAATACTTTGAGAGTCGGATCTAAGATAAAATGGTGAGTAGCTCTTTTGATAAAAAATGGACGGCTGGATGGTAGGGGGAGGATAGAACTTCTATGTTGTATGGAGAACATAGAAAGCTTTCCCTTAGAAAGTTAGAGCTTTTTTCGTGCTCCAACACCTCAAACGTGGTTTTAGGTGCCTGGTTTTTGGTGCTAGCGGAGTGTTCCTAGGGAACTTGCTATTATACCCCTTATTCAACTTGTGTTTCATTTTGGCTTTGTCATTCCAAGGGAATGACTATTGTAACTCTGATTCAACATTGTGTATCTCTTTTGCAAGTGGAATGACTTGTAAATCTGAGTTCCCAGCCATTGTATCTGCTTGTTGATCAAGATCTTATGAATTTGCCGAACTGCTTTTGTGGATGAGAGAGAAAGAGAGAGTCCATTTCTTAAAGGGAGAGAGTTTGGTGATTTTGGGAGGGGGAGAGTGACTTTGTCTATGATACGGAGAGAGAAGAAATGCGACAGCATTTCTTGCCCTTAGAAGTGAAGGTACATCTTATGTACTCATGCAAAGTGGTCGTGGGGTGGGGAGAGCAATTATGTTTGGTTATTGGGTTAGAGAATGGAATTTTGAGCATGTAGAGCTTGAGAGATGACAAGGAGCGGCAGAAAAATGATACCAAAGTCAAGTCTAAAAGCCTGCTTCTGCTTTCAGGAGAGGGCCGTCCCACCTTTACCGCTTGCAAATGGTCTTTCACTGTGATTCTCTCATTGTATTGCGATTGATCATCAGAAACGGGAGATCATACTTGAATTTTTTCCTTTATGACATTGGGAATGGAAGAACAGCAGGAATATGCTGTGGAATGATGAAAGAGATGGCACATTCTACGATATCTTTCCATTTAGCCAATGATTAGTTCCTGCAAGTATTTAGGCGAATAATCCAACAAACAGGTTACTCCTGCAGTATACAAAAGCAGGGGTTTGATGACTCTTGCATCACTCTGGTTTTATTTCTTGTTCTTTTGCTAGTGCGTAGTGTGGATGTGACTCTGAAAGTTCTTTTTCTTTCTGTCAAGTCATCGCTCATACACCATAAGGCATAGAATATAAGATATTACGATATTGTTTACAATCCGTTAACATATTTATGCGAGTTATGATTTCAAGCATGCCTCTAATTGAATTTCTAGCGGCCAATATAATGTACATTGATGTATTGATTCCCCCCCACCCTCTTTATAGATGATCTCAATGAACAATACATCATTTTCAATCTTTCAAATCAATAAGAAATTATTAGAAATGAGCTTCCATTTACATAACTCGACACCAAGCACTCCAAAAAAGAAAGGCATTTGTTATAGGGAAAATATCTCCTTATGTCTTATTTTTAACTTCTATATCTCATGAGACTAAAAAATTGAAAATATTATTTATAAGCAAAATGTCTCTATTTTTTCTATCTTACAACCCTCTGGACCTTTTTGACCATAAATTTTTTATCCAAACAAATACTAAAATGATATCCTATTCAAACTCCATCTCTGTCCCTCTAAAACTCATCTCTCTTTCTAAAACTCCATTTCTCTCTCTTCGTTTTTCGGTGAGTTTACCAACCAAGGGGTTTAGCTTGCGCTTGAACACAAGCACGAGCACGAGCACACCTTCTTATGTGTGTGTGAGAGATGGAGTTTAGGTTTTAGAGACAGATGGAGTTTTGAGAGAGAGAGTTTTGATGATGTGAGAGAGAGAGTTTTAGAGAGAGAGAGATTCATTTCATAAGTTGTTGAGGCCAATAATATATGGTGAAAAGGGTTTAGGGGGTTGGAAGATATAAAAGATGGGGAGCCTTTTTGCTTACAAGTAATATTTTCAATTCTTGGGTCTAATGAGATATAGACGTTAAAAATAAAAAATAATAAGATATTTTCCTTTTGTTATAACTCTACTATCACTCTACGATGTAGGACAAAAAGGCTTGGCACCTACAATGGTGTCTGCCTCTTGGTTGGCACAGATGGAAAATTGAGTATTAGGAACTAATTTGCGTTGGCCCCTAGTTATATTAGT